GTGCAGAACAGAGAGTCCCCTCGGCCAGAAAAACAGTCAGAAATGGAGTTTAAGATGAAGGCAAGAGACACCGCGCCGGTCAGGCGCAGGGCACGGCCAGAGAAGTGAACTGACAGGCAACCGCTTTGCACGCCACCAGCCCCTTTTATCCCATTGCCCTGTGTCCCCAGTCCATACTGGTTCCTCCCCAAGTCGCCCGCCCCCCCGATCTCTTCCTTTCCCCACCTTTGGTCCTTCGCCTAAACATCCCATAATAAGTCCTGAGCAATCCCCAAAAGCTCTTCCCTGGTCTGCCATAATGAGTCTCATATGCTTGCAGTCAGCAGCCCCCCCCAGTCTGCAGGGTGATCCAGAGAGCTTCTCCCCTTGACCTTCGCGGCTTGATGGCTCTCCTGTGACAGCCCTACGGGGAGGGAATCCTGCAGGGGTTTATATTTTTCTGGTCAAGATAGCTGCTCCACCTGTATTTCTGTAATTGTAAAGAGGGAGAGCATAATATAAAATGTTAGGCATGTGGACTGCATACATTTTAACTGCATGCAGTAGCTGATCTCTCTGCCAAACTCCGGGTAATTTTCAAGCACAACTTGTTTCCTGCAGCATCTCTGACATTGCAGCTTGCTGCGAATAAAACAGATCTCTCCTAGTTATGCAGGAACACCATGAGGTGGAATTCCCCAAACTTTCATTTTTACATTGCCTGAATTGCACCATTAGCAATTCCAGTGCAGAGGAGCAATGCATTACACTGCTGACAGCTCAACTAGCCAAAAAATACATGTCCATGGACAGGACTAATGAGGTATCTGTACTTCTACCATTTTTCCTTCCTCGAGAAGAAAATTTTTTTGCATTCCATCAGGAAAAAAAGAGGGTTTTTTTATATGAATAAATATATCCTGTCACACCGCAATCACCTGTAACATAGTCCAGCAGTGAAGAACTGCGTGCTGCTTCTTCAGAGCACGGGTTCCACAGTCACCTTCTCCCGACCACTTCAAGATGGCTTGGTCCAGGAATGATACACCCAGATTGCAACTGTCCCCAAGAGGTTACTCAGCAACCAGGAACCACAGGAGCACAACAGCACCATGATGGTGTCCCTTGCTTATGAATGTGCTTTCATACCACAGGCCATAAAGAAGGAAGGCAAACAATCCGCTCTCCCACAGGGAATTTCTCTGCAAGAAATTGATTTTGAGTTAGTCGGTCAAAGTGATAAGGAATGTGTGCCAGTGATTTGGTCTCCTTTTATAGCTCTTCTCTATTAAGTAAGGTATTATTTATGTCAGGAGAAAATTAATTTTCCATAAATAATTCTGAAATTACTTGCCTTTTCAGAGATTTGATTTTAAGTGGGTTGCCAAGATTGTATATAGAGACTAATTCATGTAATACAGATATCTATTCTTGTATCAGTTGTCTAGGGTTTTCTGTGATCTACCAGAAAAAAAATTTAGATTGGATATTAGGAAAAATTTCTTCACTGAAAGGGTTGTGAAGCACTGGAACAGGCTGCCCAGGGAAGTGGTCAAGCCCCCATCCCTGGAGGTATTTAAAAGACATGTAGATGTGGTGTTTAGTGGTGGACTTGGCAGTGCTAGCTTAACGGTTGGACTCGATCTTAAAGGTCTTTTCCAACCTAAACGATTCTGTGATTCTATGAAATGCCAAGGTAAACTGGGTAAAGGAGAAGAAACAGAAGGAGCAGAAGGTGTCACTGATGAAGCTGTTATATTTTTTGACTGAAATGCAACCAAGCAGACAGTACAGCTAGGCAAGATTCTTATTTTATAAAAAGTAACTGAAACTATAATTTTACTACATTGCTTTCTTCCATTTTTTATATAAATTCTTTCACAAGATCCTGCTGTTCTAAGAATCAACATACTAAATACAGATAAAATATTGACTCAAATGGAAGCAAGCTCTCAGCTGCTCCATTGGTTTCTCCCATTTCCCAGTGGCTTCCTGAATTCATAGAATCATAGAATAGAATCACAGAATCATTTAGGTTGGAAAAGACCTTTAAGATCATCAAGTCCAACTGCCAACCTAACACTGCCATTCCAATTCTTACGTGGTGGGTCCAAAGCTGGGGAATGTGTGAGAGCTAAGAGATGTGCAGTGCCAGGGGGATACCTGTGGGCACAAGGACAGTGTCAACTGAGATAAAAAGTAATAGCAGCCAAACCAGTTCCTTTTTATTCGCAGACAGTTTTTTTCATGGCACCAGTGGGTTTCCAGGATTTATCTGCATTGCGGGGGGGGGGCATTTTCTTGACCAAAAGTTTTGTAATCATGCAGAGCAGGGAGTGTTCCAAAGCATGACATGTTTCTCTGCTGCCAGCTCTCTGCCTGTCAGGGGAAGACATCTTCTTACCTTAACTATGTGTCGTGGCTTAACCCCAGCTGGCAACTAAGCCCCACACAGCTGCTTGCTCGGTGGGATGGGGGAGAGAATTGGAAGAGTAAAAGTGAGAAAACTCATGAGTTGAGACAATGACAGTTTAATAGATAAAGCAAAAGCTGTGCATGCAGGCAAAGCAAAACAAGGAATTAATTCGCTACTTCCCGTGGGCAGGCAGGTGTTCCGCCACCCCCAGGAAAGCAGGGCCTCATCAAGTGTAATGGTTACTTGGGAAGACAAATGCCATTGCTCCAAATGTCCCCCCCTTACTTCTTCTTGCCCCAGCTTTATATGCTGAGCATGACAACATATGGTATGGAATATTCCTTTGGTCACTTTGGGTCAGCTGTCCTGGCTGTGCCCCCTCCCAGCTTCTCGCTGGCAGAGCATGGGAAGCTGAAAAAGTCCTTGACTAGTCTAAGCACTACTTAGCAACAACTGAAACATCAGTGTTGTCAGCATTCTTCTCATCCTAAATCCAAAACATAGCACTATACCAGCCACTAGGAAGAAAATCAACTCCATCCCAGCTGAAAACAGGACACTATGTTTTGGAGGCAAGTCCCATAAGCACTGCCTGTACACACACACCTCATTATGTGTCATTTCATTGCCTCCAAAAAGATAACATGTTCCATACGGGTTAGCTTCAACTGAGCTTCAACTCACCTGCAAGATGAGAAAGTAAAAATTTGTTCTAACTGGACATAACGGTCTGGCTTCCAATTACAAAACTAGAGACGCTATACATCAAGCAGAACTATAGGTTACATTTAATAGCAAAGATCCTTCTTAGCTGCTTCAGCATGACTCAAATGGAATTCTTCTGGCATGGTCTCAGAAGGCAAAGCTGTGACTCTACCTGTCAGATCATTCCCTCATAGGTGAGGTCTACAGCAATATTAAAGGACGAGGTGATGAGTTTGGTTATGATTGTAATCAATCAAAACCATAGAAGGGTTGCTAATTATAAATTGCACAACTCAACAGGTGGGCCATGGATTGAACACAGCGTAAAAATGAAGTTATCTCCTGATTTGTAGATGTGCTACCTGTACACAGCGTGTGAGCAATATAAGTAGGGGGCAAAATGCTAGAATTTGGCATTATGGCAATTGGTGTGAACTCTTTGCATACAGAAATGGTCTAAAACCCATTCAGAGCAGTAGGAGTTTTCATTCATATCTAATATTCACTAAAGTCAATTGTGTAGGAGGACACGTAATTTAATCCTGTGTTCTCACCAGCATCAAATTGACCAAAATATTTTTAGCGTGTCTGGTGTAGAAATTGTTATTAAGATGCAGACCAAAGCAGGTAGAGATGTTATAATCTTTTCCTCATATGACATGCCAAGATGAGACTTCATAAATTAAAGATAAGTCAAGAAGTTCATCTGTTCTATTAATAATGCTAGAAAATTGCTGCAGTGCCTACCATCACCATTCTATTAGCCAGCGGCACTATCTTGGAGGCTGTGAGCTGTAAAATGATTAATGATCATGTTTATTCCCACACAGAGTTGATGGGAGAGAGGGAATTGACTTACAGTGATAGCAGCAAAAGGGAAATCATGCACCTGTGACTAAACACCAAGATAAGCATCAGAGAGCGTAATGAGCATTTAAATAAAAAATCAGAGTGTGGAAAGTGAGGTCTAAGAAAAGGAGAAGAAGGAGGGGAAAGAAAGAAAAAAGGGAGAGAAAAGAAAAGCAAGAAGTGGGAAAAAATCTTCATATAACCAAAACAAGAGGTTAGGAAGTTACCTTTGCCTCAGCAACAGTCTCATG